AGTGAATTTTGTGGTTGTTAAAGATTTTTCAGGTTTGTTAGCTTTTTGTTTTTTTAGTAATACAAAATAAATGGATAATATGAAGATACTAAGTTGAATTCCGGTGGTTGTTATATTTTTCAGGTTTCTTAGCCTTTTTTTTTTTCATAATACAAAATAAATGAATAATATGAAGATAAACAGCTGTAAACTTTTTGAGTTCGAACATCTATTGCTTTCAGATCGTCAATTTAATTGCCACATACTGACTGACATACACTACAATTCATGCTCACAGTCTGAAGATGTTCTAAGATAGGAGAAAAAAACGAAATCGATTATTTGTCCCCAAAGATGTGATGGAGACGAGATCGCGATGGCATTCATGGACAAATATGATCGTTTACCATCTTTAATTTGAATATTATTTCCCTACTTATTTTATTATTATGCTTTATTTCTTTTTCCTACTTAGTAGATGAATAACTTATTTCCTTTGGGATTTCTAATTATTTAGGAAATTAGGGATTTTAGTTTGATAGGACTCTATATATTGTCTTTTCTTCTTCAAAGAGAAGCAGACTTTTTACGAATAATATTATCAGATTGAGTTTTCTCATCTTGTTCCCTTTTCGTTTAATTGCTGCGCTACATCAGTTGGTACTCAGAGTTAGCTACGATCCGAGATGCCGCCCAAGAGGAACGACCCCGCTGACGACCGCAGAGACGCGGCGATCGAGGCCCTAACCCTACAGAACGAGTCGTTGGGCCGAGATGTGGCGGACCTGGCGTCGGGGATGGCGGATATTCGCGAGGCTCTGCAATTGTTGATGCGCCGTGAGCAAGCGAACCGTGACGGGCCCGAGCAGCGGGACGGCGGTCGCGGTGGGCAGCGTGGCGGCCGGAGAGGTCGGGGTCACGCGCGATTGGGTGGTGACCGACGTGCGCCGTACATGGAGGAGACCGGCGACTCGGACGCTACGGAGGAGGAGGTTAACCCGTTTGCGCGAGATGGACCACGGGGAGACGATGACCTGCGCGGGGAGAGGCGTTGGGAGAGTGCGTTTCGTGTGGATATTCCGGAGTTCGCGGGGGGGCTGGACGCCGCTGATTTTTTGGATTGGCTGGCCTCGGTGGAGTCGGTTCTGGAGTATAAAGAGGTGCCCGACGAACAGCGCGTGGGGCTGGTCGGCACGCGATTGCGCGGGAGGGCCGTCGCGTGGTGGCAACATCTTAAAGATGAACGACGTTTGTTGGGTAAACCAAAAATTTCGTCATGGGCAAAGTTCAGGAAACACATCGAAAGGGAGTTTCTTCCGTTTAACTACGTCAGCACTACGTATCAACAACTCCATAATCTTCGGCAGGGTACTCGTTCCGTGGACGAGTATACGGAGGAGTTCTATCGTCTCCTTACACGTGCCAAGCTTCGTGAGACGACACCTCAAAAGGTGTCCCGTTATGTCAGCGGATTACGTCTGGCCATTCGCGATATGTTGAACATGTTTACCCCGGAGACTGTCTCTGCCGCTCATCAACGGGCGTTACTTATTGAACAGCAACAGTCGCGTCGGCCCTTGCAGGCTGCCGGATTTCAACCGCGTGGTGGTGGGGCTCCGTCGTTGTCGCCTGGGCTGAACCGGTCATCATTGCCGAGTGGTCGCAGCAGCTCCGTGGGACCCGCCGGTTTTTCCCCGGCTGGGGCTGCTGGCAGTACGCAGGTCGGGGTCGGGTCCGGCTCGGCTAGGATGGAGGGCTCGCGTACGGGGGGTGGTCCGCGTTGTTTCTCTTGCGGCGAGGCCGGGCACATTCAGTCCGCGTGTCCCCGCCGTACTGGCTCTCGGGCTCTGCTGGCGGATGACGTGGATGGCTCGGCGGAGGCTATTTATGATGGGCCGCCGCGGTTTGATGTCGAGCCCGACACGGTGGAAGAGCATTTGTGTGGTGACGAGGGCCTTGCGCTGGTCCTTCGACGTTCTTGTTTAGCTCCTCGCGTTTCGGACAACACTGAGCACTTACAGCGCCACCATATTTTTGAATCGACTTGTACGGTAAGTGGTCGTATTTGTCGCTTTATTATTGACTCTGGTTCTTGTGA